GTCGCACCTCCTGTGACCAGTCGTCGTTTCGCTAAGCAGGAAGGAGGAGGAGAGGAGGAGGAGGAGGAGGAGGAGGAGAAGCTGGAGGAGGAAGAGGAGAAGGAGAAGCAGGAGGAGGATGAGGAGGAGGAGGCGGAAAAGCTGGAGGAGGAGATGGAGGAGAAACTGGAGGAGGAGGAGGACGAGGAGGAGAAGCCTGAGGAAGAGGAGGAGGAGAAGCAGGAGGAGGAGCACGAGGAGGAGAAGCTACGAGGAGGAGAAGCTGGATGAGGAGGCGGAGAAGGAGGAGGAGGAGAAGCAGCTTGTACTCTCTTGTTTTCCTCCTGCCTGGCGCTCAGGCGCCTGGGTGAGCGAGCTTCTGGGCGAACGGGCTTCCGGGCGGCCAGGCTTCAGGGCGAGCGGGCTTCGGTTCGAGCGGTCTCTGGGCGAGCGGGCCTCTTTGGCGAACAGGATGCCGGGCGAGCGATCTCCGGGGCAACGGGCCTGTACTATTAAGTCGGGCATGTCCCTTCACCGGAGGAATCTTCAAACATAGTCAAACAAGTAATAAGGGGAAGTGTTTTGAACATTATTACTTCTAAAGAATAATTATTGTTGGGACCCCTGGTGCACGACCCCCCCGCCGCGCCTAGGCCGCAGCCTCATTTTCATCATTTTCGCGAGGAAGTCTCAGGCAAAACGGGGGAGTCCGGATCCGGTTGTGTTGTTACGATCGGTTTTCCCTTGCAACAAATAAGCTAAAGTGGACATTTCTTGTTCTAACATAACCAAACTTCAAGAATCCCTTGCAAAAAATAAGGTAAAGTGGACATTCGCGCGCGCAAGACGAAATCCTTCCAAAAGCTTAGTGTTCGGAGCGATTTTAACATAAAAACATCAAAAAACCAATGGTTTTTCAACAAAAAAATGTCAAAATTCATCCCGCGCGCTCTTGCGGATTCGTAGGAAACCCAACACTTTTTAAACATTTCTGTCAAACGGGCTTTTGCGAGCAACTTTTTCGAACTTCTGCAACAACGGTTGCGCACCTGCCAGGGCCATCATCCCTGTCAAATAATACCATGCGGGGCACATTCGTTTTTTCTTCGCGCGCGCACGCCGAAATCTTCAAAAACCATTGGGTTTCTTAGGAATTTTAGCACCGCGCAACATAAAATCATACGAATCGCACCGTAGGTCCTCGAAAAACATTTGTACGAATTTTCAAAATTTCTACCCGCGCGCGCTGTCCGAATCCTAAAAAACCAATGGTTTTTCAACATTTATGTTACATGAGCTCGCGCGAGCTACTTTCGCAAGCTCTGTACCCATGCGCCAGTGTAGTACCCATGCGCCAGTGTAGTAGCCACGGTCGTCCGCAGGCCACGAAGTGAAGTGTCCGAACGTCATAGGGCGGGAAGCTGGGTGTGGGTGGTGGCGAGCGTCGTATGAAAACCCTGGCACTGGTGAGAACGGAGTGTCCCCACGTGCTAGTAGTTGTTGTTGTTGTTGTTGTTGTTGAACATTATTTCTTCTAAAGAATAATTATTGTTGGGCCCCCTGGTGCGCGACCCCCCCGCCGCGCCTAGGCCGCAGCCACGTTTTCATCATTTTCGTGAGGAAGTCTCAGGCAAAACGGGTTGGTCCGGATCCGGTTGTGTTGTTACGATCGGTTTTCCCTTGCAACACATAAGCTAAAGTGGACATTTCTTGTTCTAACATATCCAAACTTCAAGAATCCCTTGCAAAAACAAAGGTAAAGTGGACATTTGCGCGCGCAAGACGAAATCCTCCCAAAACCTTAGTTTCCGTAGCGATTTTAACATAAAAACATAAAAAAACAATGGTTTTTCAAACAAAAATGTCAAAATTTCATCCCGCGCGCTCTTGCGGATTTGTAGGAAACCCAACACTTTTTAAACATTTCTGTCAAACGGGCTTTTGCGAGCAACTTTTTCGAACTTCTGCAACAACGGTTGCGCACCTGCCAGGGCCATCATCCCTGTCAAATAATACCATGCGGGACACATTCGTTTTTTCTTCGCGCGCGCACGCCGTCGTCGTCGGCCGCGGGGCCCTGAATAGTAGCCACGGTCGTCCGCATGCCACGAAGTGAAGTGTCCGAACGTCATAGGGCGGGAAGCTGGGTGTGGGTGGTGGCGAAGAGTCGTTTGGAAATTTGGTAGAGCTTGAACCGGCCCCCCCACAAAGTGGGGGTATTGCCCGCCTCCTATGAAAACCCTGGCACTGGTGAGAACGGAGTGTCCCCACGTGCTAGTCATTGTTGTTGTTGTTGTTGTTGTTGTTGTTGTTGCGCATTTCTACATGTTCGGACTATCTTTTTTTGTCCCAAATTCGCCTGTAAGGGGACATGCCAGACCTAAGTGTAATGTGAGCTTGTGATTAACAAGTGATGCCTCTCCCCAGGGCTGATGGAGCATGCGCGCCAGGGGGTCGTCGCGGGCGCCGCCGGGGGCGATCTTGTACCTCCCTGCGCGGCAGCCTCAAGATGCTTGCCTTCTATATATCATCAGGCGCGTTCCACTACTCGCAAAGTGCCTACTCGCTAATGTCCGACAAACAGATGTCCTCCTCTTATGTAATGTATCGTAAATCCCCCGCGGCAGATCCAGGCCATTTGCGGGTAGCTACTTTGCGAGTAGTGGAACGCGCTCGTCCACTATAGAAGTTGTTAGAGGGATCGTATGCATCCGAAGCGGAGTTTCTTCCCCTCAGCTGATTTCGCACGTGCCACAGTCGTCGTCGTCGGCGTCGTCGTCGTCGTCGTCGTCGACGGTCGACTGCAGCAAGCATGTACAGCCCCCCCACTGGGCCATCCGCAGTGCGTCGTCTTCGTCGCCGTTGTCGTCGCGTTGTAGTCGTCGTCGTCGTCGTCGTCGTCGTCGTCGTTGTCGTCGTCGTGTTCGTCGTCGTCGTCGTCGAGCACAGTGGGCCTCTGCAGCACCCCCTCAACTCCCCCCTCAACTCCCCACAGATGGGATATCCGCAGTGCGTCGTCGTCGTCGCCGTTGTCGTCGCGTTGTAGTCGTCGTCATCGTCGTCGTCGTCGTCCTTTTTCTCGTCGTCGTCGTTGTCGTGGTCGTCGTCGTCCTCGTCGCCGCCGCCGCCGTCGTCGTCGTCGTCGTCGTCGTCATCCTCGTTGTTTTCGCCGTCTTTTTTTTCGTCGTCATCGTCGTCGTCGTCGTTGTCGGGTGCAGCGGGCCTCTGGGCATCCGCCTTGCGTCGACGTCGTCGCGTTTTAGTAATCGCCGTCGTCGTTGTCGTCGTCGTCGTTGTCGTCGTCGTTGTCCTCGTCGTCGTCGTCGTCGTCGTGTCCTCGTCGTCGTCGTTCTTCGTCCTCGTCGCCGCCGTCGTCGTCGTCGTCATCTTGTTGTCGCCGTCGTCTTTCCCGTCGTCGTCGTCGTCGTCATTGTCGTCGTCGTCGCCGTCGTCGCTGTCGTTTCGTCGTCGTCGTCGTCGTCGTCACTGTCGTCGTCGTCGTCGTCGTCGTGATCGTCGTGATCGTCGTCGTCGTCGTCGTCGTCGTCGTCGTCGTCGTCGTCGTCGTCTCCGTCGTCGTCGTCGTCCGTCTTCGTCGTCATCGTTATCGTGGTCGTCGCTGTCGTCGTCGTCGTCGCGGTCGTCGTGGTCGTCGTCGATGTCGACGAGAGCGGGCCAAATTTCGCAGGGCCCTCCCTACATGGCCCATGTGGCATCAGAAATGCGTCGTCGTCGTCGTCGTCCGCCGTCGCCGTCGCCGTCGCCGTCGTCGTTGTCGTCGCCGTCGTCGTCGTCGTCGGACATATTGTAGTGGATGGGGGCAGGGGGTAAGGGTTGTAAGCAGGAGCCGTGGAACCAACCGTTTTCAAGGTAAGCCTGGGTCAATGAAAGGCTCAAGGGTCGAGGGTTGAAGGCTCAAGGCTCAAGGCTCAATGCTCAAGGCTCAAGGCTCAAGGGTCAAGGGTCAAGGGTCAAGGGTCAAGCTCAAGGCTCAAGGCTTAAGCCATTTTGGCTCAAGGCTCAAGGCTCATGGGTCAAGGGTTGAAGGTTTTTTTTGCCGACTCGCCCAGCATCGCTCTATACTGATACATTCTCTTTTGTCAAAACGTGTTTGCCTTCATTAGCAGTGTGGCCGCCTTGTTGACAGCTCGGTATCAAACAATTGGCAGTTGCTGGTGTGAGCGCCCGGTGTCACAGCGATTCCGGCGTGTTGCATTGTGATGTGGTGGAAGTTTAATTCATTGGGTCGTCAAAGAATGTCCGATCGGCCAAAGTTAAAGCAGGAGCCGGTGTTTCAAAATGCTTTTCAAGAATTGCAAGGCAAGGTCAGTTGCATCTTCGCAGAAATGGCGGATTTAAAACGCATGGTGGGTATGTCGAGGGAAACGGATCAACATATCATGGGGCGGTGAGGCACGGCGAGTCGGACGACTTGAACAAATATGCATATTAGCCGATTTCCTGAAAATTGAAAGCGTGTGCGATCGTTTACTGCAAGAACCAATTCAATCAGATTTTGTTGGTGGTTCCGAGTGTACGGCAGAATTCGACGGTAACACAGAGGCTAACAAAGATGCCCCCAATTCCTCGGATAACATGTTTGAATATTTGGCAGGGATTGCGCAAACAATTCAGATGAGGTTAGAACATAAGAATTTGTTTTTCGGCGATCACAACGAGACTCTTGATTGGGAGGGCGAATCTTTGCACCAACGCAGGCTAATCCTTCCACATCGTTGTCACGAGCTGCTGGACAGCGTTCGACATGCCGTCAGCAAAACAAAGGATTTCGACCAGACGGGATCATTGATCATACTTGGTTGCAAAGGTTTCTTTCTCGAAGGAACGTTGGTGGAGCCGCTCGTGCACAGATAGATTTGTCTGGTCGGGTTTCGCGGGCAGATTTACACACCAACATCTTCTTCACGGGAAATTCGTGAAACTACTCGCCAGGGAATTGTGTTGGAAGAGTGGGCTCCCGATGCCACTTCGGTCCGCAGTTGCGTTTTGCGGTCGTCTGT